GCTGTCTGTGAGCTTTTTCTTGCTCAAGGCTAGTGTTTTATCACTTGAGCCATAGCTCCACTTCTGGCTTTTTTAGTAGTTTATTGTAGATTAGTGTGTCACAGTCTTCTGGGTAGGGACAGGAGGGAAAAACTGGGAGAAAGCAACAGAAGGGGAGTCATTGTTCAAAAAGAATTGTACTCATTACTCATTACCTCATTCATGTAACTATAACCCCTCTGTTTATCAACTACAATAACAAAAACAACAAAAAGAGTGTAATAGGCTTTTCTGTTCAGGTTGGTTTCAAACTGTGATTGTCAGATCTCAGCCTCTGAGTAGCTAGGATTACAGGTGTGAGCCACTGGTACCTGGCCCTGTACACCTTTTTAATATTTCACTCATCTTTGGTAAGATGAACTCATGGTATAGATTTACTCTACCTGACTTAACCAATTACCAGTTAGAAGACATTATGATTTTTCTATGTTTTAAAATTATTTTAAGCACTATAAATCTTACGTAGAGTTTTGTGTATTTTCTTTTTTAAAATTAAAAAATTATTTTATTATACATTTGCTGTACAGAGGGGTTAAGGTTACGTGAGTAAAGTAATAGTTTTTGTGCATTTTCAAAGATGATTTCATTAGAACAAATTTCTTAAAGTGAGATGATAGGGCATGGAAGTGTTTGATTTGCATTGCCAAACTCTGCTCTTGGACGGGTTGTAATTGGATACACTTTTTCCTTAGTGCTCATTTCCCTAAATCATCACCAATTATGGATAAGTATAGACATATCAGAGAAATGAACAAAAACACAATGAAACAAAACCTAACAAGTTTACTAATTCAGTTGGTGGAAAAAAAGTGGCATCTCATTTTTAAAAACAGCCATTTGTTTTTGAGTCAAGGTCTTACTACTTAGCCCACGTTGGTCTCAAACTCACAATCCTCGTGGCTCTGTTTCCTGAACGCTGTGATTACAGGTGTATATCACCACACATAGCTCTAAAATGAGCATTTCTTTGATAATTATAGATGATAAACTATTCCTCCCCCCCTTCCCCATACTGGGATTAGAATCCAGTCTCTTTAGTGACAGGCAAATGCTTTATACCCAAGAATTGACCTTTTTTAGTTTTTAAAAATGTTTGCTCATATTCTCTCTGTGTGTGTATGTGTGTGTCCTGCCTCTTTTTCAATTTGTCCACTATTTTTATTCATCCAAAGATTCTTTGCAATCTTGTAGAGACTCTAATTGTTCACCCTATAATAAGGATATTAATTCTTTCTCCTACATGCTGCAAATATTACTACTATACATTGTTTGCTTTTCCATTGGTTTTTGGGTGGGGTTTTTAAAAAGATCTTAGGTTTTTAAATAAACTTTCTATTTCAATATCATTTTCAGAATAACTTTGGATTTACAGAAAAGTTATCCAGATGGTAGAGAGAGCCCCTGTATACCTTTGCCCAATTTCTCCTGACATTAACATTGTGTTTATAAGCTCATGCTTCATTTATCAAAATAAATGGAACTCCCATATGGTTTTAAAGGTGCTGCAGAGGCTCAAGCAGCTCTGATAGGATGCTCATTTTCTGCAGTGGGAAAAATTTTTGATTATTTGGAGCACATTTTTCTCCTCACAAAACCCAGGATTTTGTGCATTACTGGTCAAAGCATTAAAGTGTATTTTTTGTGAAATATTACTAATAGTTTATTTGTAAAATTTTTTTTTTTTTACTGTGAATAACCATGTTTTGATGGGCAAAAGCATCCAGAAGTTTGATTCTGAAGAGCTTTGGAGTCTGGAAAGTATATTGAAAGGTTTAATTGTGGCCATGTCTACTGTTGTCTCATATAGTATCCTTCTTGCCCTGTAGTTAGGCTAGCTCACCTTCTGGGGTTAAAGGGCAGAATCGTGAAAAGTGTGCCTAATGTCACCCTCACAGGAAGCATTAGAGCCATTGGAGCACTTTTCTAAAACAAGATATCATCTTTCTCTTTCTAAATTATAGCTTCCCCAGGGAAGGGCTGATAAGGAAGAATGTGGTTTAAAATGGTCTTTCCCTAGAGTTGCATAGAAAAACCTGGGGGTAATGGGGATACTGTGGAGTGTCAGAACTGGCAACCAGGGCCTCAGAAGGGAACCTTAGTGTTTGCTCTACCTTAGAGCAGCCTGGGCGCTTTGTGTAAACCTCATTTCTTTATTCCCCAAAGCAAGGGGGCTTTAAGGATCTCATTCCAGCTGGATATTTTCTCTTAGAAACAGATTTTATTGGGGATAATGGATATGTGTTATGTGATATTGATTGTGGTGATCATTTCATCATGGGTATATACCCACGTCAAAACTTATAAAATTTAAAATACATGTGGTTTATTATATGTCATGTTTAGTTTGGTGCAACTTTAAAAAAAACAAAACAGATTTTATAGTTGGGTATGATGGTATATGCCTCCAGTCCCAGCTACACAGGAGGGACTGGTATGAGGATCATTGTCTTGAGACTGGTCCAAGACCTTATCCAAAAACAAAACAAAGCAAAACAAACCCTAAAAGCCAAAAAGACTGCAGGCATGGATCAAGTGGTGGAGGTCCTTCCTAGCTAGTGCAAAATGTAGAGTTCAAATCCCAGTACAGCCCAAATAAAAAAACAGAACTCCACAGTTTTCATCCAGCTAAAAATCTATTGGGCAAAGATCATTTTTAGTGGTAGGAATACAACCATGGGGACTTCCTAGAGTTTTCCCTACAACTTCCTGTTAAGGCTGTACTTCTATTTACTTTTGAATATATCAGGGCTACAGGTGTGATTCAAGTGGTAGAGCACCAACCTACCTAACAAGTGTGAAGCCGTGAGTTGGAACTCCAGTACCTCCAAATAATTTGTTCACCTATTTGGGAGATGTTCATTTTCCCAGTCAGGCATTATCCCCAAGTGCTCACTGTGCTTTGGGCTGAGGGTGAGGGGTGAGGCCTCTTGTAGACTCCTACTGCAGTCCTTTTCAGGAAGAAAAGAGAGCCAATGTATCTGGATTGAGTACTTTGGATTTTTCTCACCAAAACCCCACTTTGAGGTCTTATCAGTAGGAACAGAAAGTCTTATAGAGGCACCATACAGTCTGCTATTTAGGTGGGGAGAAGTTAGTAGGAAAGCTGTGGAGGGAACTGGCTACCTGCTTTTCCTTCAACACTCTCTGGAAAACACCTTTTCCCTCTCTTCCATACTTAGCAAGGCATCAGTTACAGATTTGGATTGTTCTACTGAGATCCCTCTCTAGGCCCATCTAAGTACCTACCCTCTACCTACTACCCAGTCCACACACTTGTCATGTTAATACTGGGTCTCTCTAGGAGGCTCCTTCTGGGTTCCAGGCTTAGAGGATCTCTGGGTGGGCCACCAAGACGATCAGGTTCATTCATTCAAGCTGTGTCATCAATCACTTACATACTCAAAGTCTTCCAATCTCTGCATTTCAGGAGGAGCAAACTGCTCCTCTTGAGTTGTGAGGCTCTCTACTGACTAGCTCTACTCTCTCATAGTTTAAGTCCCTATCACTTCCAGATTCCAATCTTTGTTCTAGCTGAGCAGGTTTTCTCCTTCAAGCCAGGGGTATGTGCATGTGTTTTTCCAATTCTCCACCTACCTTATGTTTTCCCGCCACTAACAGACAAATCCTACCTGCCCTAAAACTCAGCTAGAGCCCTATCTTTTTCATGGAAGCTTTTTCATGGATGTTCCAAGCACATTCATTTCAATTAATCAGACTATTTACTTCTTTGTTGGGGACACAAGAATGAATGATAGGCGTTGCTTCTTAGTTTTTGTTTTCTTTCTAAAGAGAAAGAAGAACCTAGTTAATCTGTAATTTCTTCAACCAGAAATAACACCTCCCCCTTCTCTGTCTGTCTGTCTGTCTGTCTCTCTCTCTATATATATGTCTTTTCTCCTTTATGTAGGCACCTGACCACTGAAAACCCAGGGATTTATTGTATACAGAGATGAAAATATTGGACACTCTGGGGATGGATGAAAAACTGCAGCTGTTGGTGCTTGATTCTTGATTCTTGTTAGGCTGAACATAATGAGTGAGTGACTTCAAAGCAATGAACTATGATTCTTAAAAAGAAAATAGTTGTATTTTCTTCTGCTGCAAGGAAGAACAAAGTCAGTCAGACTATGTTTATGGACAAAAAGAGATTGCTTTGTTAATTAAAAAAACTAGTTTTGTGTAAAAAAATGTGTTTGCAATATGGTCCAATCTTTGCTAAAGCATTGGAAAAATTTTGGAAAGATAAGTACTCAATGGTTTTCTTTGGGTGAAGGAATTTACTAGTCATTAAATAAAAACACTTCCTTTTAACCCAAACTTTTCTATAACAAGCAATTTCATTGTTTTAATCAGAAGGACATTTTCATTTGGGGAAAATGTGCAGAAATAGGGATATCAATTTGGTCCAAATGCAGATGGATCACTTTAGAGACAGTGCAAAATTAAATATTAAAAGGCATTCTGCTTTGTTTATTTAATACAGAGTGAGGACTGGAATGGGCCACATCTACAGGGACCTTTAGCAGATGTGGACTGAGCGTTGCAGTTTCAGGGTAAACACTATAAAAATAAACAAACGAGCAAACTAATGGAATGTGATAGACAGGATGCCTGAGTAATTACTATAAATGCTTTGCCCTTTTTTTTTTGTAAGAGTCTCAGAAAGGACTTTAACCTCTAGGTCTATTAATCTGGCTTCTATCACTGAGCTGAGCTAGTGGCACTTTATGTTTTAAATCATAAATGTATGATTTGCCCTTGGTATACTCTGGCGATTTTGTTTTCTTTCCATCAGAGTTTGTTATCTCATCCTAGAAATGGAAAATGTACAGACTGGTAATAACATGCCCCTGGTGTTATCTACAACCTTGAGAGTTTCCCATGCAGGTGGGAATTTTCTCATTCTCAGAGGACCAACAGATCTGCCTTGGCTGCTCTACCTATAAATAAAAGTTCAGGAAGGACTCTGAATTCTGGAAAAAGCCTTGACCATGAGGTTGATCCTGTTATATGGTGCCCTTTTTGGGCTTATTTACTGTCGAGAAACATTTGTGGGGTAAGTTTTGCTTTCTGGGGCTCATTTGAAGTTTTCTTAGCTTATTCTTGAAGCCTCCCATTGGATATTACAGGATTATAGGTGTACGTGTTAAATGTTCTCAAAGTTCTCTTGGCTGGGAGTGGGGGAGAATTGTGGTGGGAAAAATGGGAGGTGATCAAAAAAGAGATGAATGGCATTGAAAAGGATAAATAAGTGAAAATTGTGAAAACATAGAAATGGATTGCTAATAAAAGGACTTTTCTTTGAGAATAAAGAACAGGATTACAATTGGGAGTACACATGGCTCAGGCCAGGCTGGCCTCTGGTATGTCTGGACAACAAAGGAAAGGTTAGGGGTCTTGTTTAGATAGAGAAATCTATGCAATATATGCAAGTGATTTCGAGTACAAGTTCATTGGCACTTTGAGTACTTGTGGGAGCTGCCATGATGATTGGCAAGTTGGAGCTATAACTGGGTAAAGCTAGTGTTAAGGTCATAATTGGCCGTTTATCAGCTGCTAAGTAAAAATGGTCTTAAATATAGGGCAGGCAGTTCTGTGACATAAATCCTGGAGAGGGCTTTTTCTTTCCCATGGTGCAAAAGCTCGAATCTGTTTTAGTGAAGAGTGACAAGGATGACTCCATTTTGAATAATGAGTTTTCAGCAAATGGATCACACATAACTTTTTTTCTCTGGTCCTGGGGCTTGAACTCACCTTGGTGCTATCCCTGAGCTTTATCACTCAAAGCTAGCACTCTTACCACTTTGAGCTACAGTGCCACATCCAGTTTTCTGGGGGTTAATTGGAGATAAGAGTCTCACCGACTTTCCTGCCCAGACTGGCTTTGAACTGCGATTCTCAGATCTCAGCCTCCTGAGTAGCTAGGATTATAGGCAAGCCACTGGTACCCAGCTAGCATCTCCTCCTTTTAAAGGAAGGCTCTTGGGTACCTAAGCATTAACTAAAAGTAATGAGACCCCAGTGGAGAAATTTTTAGGGCATTTGTGGCAGATGGGTCCTAGGAGACAGAAGAGCCTCGGAGAGCTTATGTATTCCACTAGAGTTCATTGGAAATTGGGTAGAACTTGGTTTCAGAAGACCTACATAGGCCCCTGTCTGTGACTTGTACCTGTTTCTTCCCTATTGCACAAATGGACATGAAATTAGCCTGCTTTGGAGGAGGGATAAAGAAATCTGGTTCTTCTACCCATCTTTTTTTTGGGGGGGGTCCGGTTGGGGGCCTGAACCCTGGGCCTGGGCGCTGTCCCCAGCTCTTCAGCTCAAGGCTAGCGCTCTACCACTTGAGCCACAGCGCCACTTCCAGCTTTTTTCTTTTTGCTTATGTGGTACTGAGGAGTCGAACCCAGGGCTTATGCATGCAAGGCAAGCGCTCTATCACTGAGCCACCTTCCCAGCCCCTACCCATCTTCTTTAAGAATCTATTTGCTAATTTTGAGATCTCTCTCTTCCTCTTTCCCTTCTCCCCTCCTCCATGTGTATGTATGTGTGTGTGTGTGTGTGTGTGTGTGTGTGTGTATGTACTTGAATGTGTGTAAGGAGAGGCAGAAATATACTTTAATTGGTTTGAGTCTCAACTTCTCCTATCCAAAAGTTGGGTTTTCAGATGGAGAGCTGATACATTTTCAGTTTCAAAATGAACAAAACAACAACAAAAAAATCACATTAAGTCTACCCAGATGTGAATCCAATTCCTCTTACAAGCATCAAATTAATTATCCCATTAAAAAAAAAAACTTCTTTTCTGAAAAACAAGAACAGGCACGTTTTAAAAGCCAACGTTATGAGCAGCAGGTGTGACTTGACAAATTCTCATTAGCTAAAGGAAGGGTAACTTTAATGGCAAGCTTCCTGCTAAGAGCAGATAGCCTCTTAATTATTATTTAGATAACATTTCCTTGGAGGAAATAAAGCCTTTCTATCACCTCTTCATTCTGGAGATATGGGTCACTATGCTATTTATTAGCTTCTGAGATGTCAAAGAGATTATTGACTGCTGCATTCATTGCCTATATGCAGAGGCTAATCGGAACAGAAAATAAAAGAAAAAGTGCCCCGAGTTTCACTCTTAAGGTCATGTCTCTGTTTAATATTCTTTAGAGACCAAGTTCTTGAGATCATCCCAAACAATGAAGAACAAATTAAAAGTCTGATACAACTAGAGGCTGAAGAACATCTCCAGGTATTTGTGCTAGTAATGGCTTTTGTTTCCCAGAGGGAATACTCTACAGCCAGTCAGGATGATTGACATCCATTCTGGGCTGTATTCTGATTCCTCTGAGGTAGTATGGGATACTAACTCATGGAGTGGAGATTCCATAAAACTGGGCTCTAATCTCAACTACGTGACACCGGGCAAACCGTCTTCCTTTCCTATGACTTACTTCCCTAGTCAGAAAAATGGGTATAGATTTACCATTCCCCTAGCTCACAGGTATATTGTAAGAATGAGATTGGATATTAACTGTGAGTTATTTTGAACACCTTTAACATTATTTCTCCCATATCATTAATGATTATGAAATGAATTGGATCACTAAAAAGCCAATTAAAAATTGCCATTAGAGCTGAAGGCATGGCTCAAATGGTAGAGTACCTGCCTAGCAAATACTAGTCTCTAAGTTCAAACCCAGAATTGCCAAAACCAAAACACCTTACCATAATTTTAAATAATCTTTTTCTCTGCCAGTTTTAATATCTATCTATCTATCTATCTATCTATCTATCTATCTATCTTCCATCTATCTATCTATCAAAGAACATTAATAACCATGCCTGGGAGGGAAACATAACACATTTTCCTATGACTGGATATTTATAAAATGCTTGTTGGTATTAATAGTGATTCTATAATGATTCTGGTTATATGGGCTCAAAATAATATTAGTAACAAATTGATTTGCTGAAATCCAGCAATACTAAACTATCCATTTCCCCCAGAAAGTCCCACTCTTTTCTTTGGCTTGACCCTTTATCCTTTTCAGCTCGACTTCTGGAAATCACCCACCATCCCAGGAGAGACAACTCATATCCGAGTTCCCTTTGTCAGTGTCCAGGCAGTCAAAGTTTTCCTGGAGTCCCAGGAAATTGATTATTCCATCATGATTGAAGATGTTCAGGTAATTATGCCTTACTGTGGCCTTCCAGAGGCTTGCTGAGCCTAGAGTACTGTCATCCTACAGTAGTAGTGGCTGAATGCCCCATCCTCTTCCAAAGTGCTACCAGATAAAGGAAAGAGCATGACCTTGAGCCTAAGGACAGGATGAGAAAAGCTTGGTAGTGGGTACTGAGGATCACAATTCCCTTATAAACAGAAATCCCATCTGTTGACTAATATACAGTTGGTTTGTCTTAGGTGCTGTTGGATCAAGAGAATGAAGAGATGCTATTTAATCAGAGAAGAGAACGGAATGGTAATTTCAACTTTGGGGCCTACCATACATTGGAAGAGGTAGGCATTTCAAAATGAGTATCAGAGAAATGTGCCATTCTTTCCTGTGAGGACAGAGTGGTGGGTAACGTAATAACCTAGACATTATTCTCCATTTTGTCCTAGCTTCTCCAAGTCTCCATAGGATTTCACAGGCAGTACCCATGTCATTGGCTAAATGTAGGACCTGAAGTCTACTTGCCCATAATCACACAGTTATTATGGAAGTGTTCAGAGTGTCTTAAGTGAGCTAACAAACAGCCTTGCCATACTCTTCCCCTCAATCTCTGGCGCAGATTTCTGATTTGCACTTCTCACAGGATAGCTGTGTTTTATGGTTGCTACTCATGATGGCGTTATGGGTCAATTTGACACCTCTAACTTCCAGACAAGGGTGAAGTCTCCAACCTGCCTAACCTCCAAGGCCATATGGTAGCAAAGTTTATATAGATTCTTTTGTTGTTCCTATGTGTTGTTGGTCCCTTTCTTTACTTGGGTCACATGATAGTAGGTGGGCTGCATTTACCTTTCTGTAACAGACCTGTAAAGATCTGTCTCTATTGGCTGACTTCAGAGTGGAGGAGAGAGGGGTTTGAGTGCAGATGGAAGTTAGGGGTTTAAAAGGCCAGGTGGGTAGGGAAGAGACAAAGAAGAGTTATCTGGTTGGCAGCAAGTCTCTAATTCACAATTTTAAAATGCAAAGAGCTCTGAAATTTATTTTGCTCAATTTTTTTGCTAGTCAACCTTCTCTGCCCTACACTTATGTAGAGGCTAAAATCTGACCTGACTAGTTCATTTGTTTCACTGCCAGAAATACCAGTGTGTTTAAATATGAAGCAACATCCCACAGATAGTACACCATATAATAGACACTATAACCCCCCCTCCACACACACACACACACACACACACACACACACACACACACACACCTGTATCTTAGTTTGGCATGAGGAAGAAACAAGACTCACTCTCTCTGTCCCACACAATGGTGTGTCCCTGGGACAGCAAACATTGACAACAGCTAGAAGAGGCTGTTTTTATCCTGGGAAACCTCCAGGTGTGCCCAGCAATGGACACAGCCTGGCTGCCTGTAGGATGCACAGAATTTCAATGAACCTAGAAAATCGGTGAAGTGGCCTGGGGCTTGAGGCTGCCTGGGGCTGGTGTTTCTTTGTCCCCCAGCCTGCACTAGCCCCTGCATTTTGTAGCACCAACCTTTACAGCCCTCCCCCCTCTCCTTTGTGTGTGTGTGTGTTTATGCAACTATCAGTTTGTGTTCTGCTAGTTCTCTTGTCTGGAGAAGCTGTACCTCAGAGCTGGGGGGAGGAAGCTACAAGCAGACCAGACCAGTGTCATTTTTGTTGTGCACAGAATTGTCTGTACTGCAGCAAAATGGCTTCTCCTGTCCAAATGACTCAGCATCCCTGAGCTGGGATACTAACGCCCCTCACCCCTACAGAACCCCCAGGTCCGGCAGCGATGTGACACTGTGACAACATGCTTCCAGGGAATGGGATGGAGGGAAGGCAATGCCATCATAATTATAGCTTGGCAAATTATCTTATCTCTTCCATTGAAACCCTTCCAGATCTCCCAAGAAATGGATCACCTCGTGGCTGAGCACCCTGATCTAGTGAGCAAAGTGAATATTGGTTCTTCTTTTGAAAACAGGACAATGAACGTGCTCAAGGTACACCCACCCAGACAGCCGTGGGGTTTTGTTCTGGACACTTCTAGAATCCTGCCTCTCCTAGCTTGGCCTGCCAGAACAGCTTTTATTTCTTTTTCTTTTGCTTTTTTTCAAATCCCCTCTCCTAGCCGGTCTTTGCTGGTTTCCAGCAGCCTCTCCCCCGCCCCTCTTCCTTTTTTTTTTTTTTCTCTTTTCCTGCGCAGGCTGACGCAGGTCTGCAGGAGAGAATTAATGCTCTTGTCCTGAGAGATGCGCTCTGAGAACCCGGCGAGCTCGCCAATAGGAACCGAGGAGGGGGAGGAGGTGCCTGCCAGGCTGGGGCAGCAGAGGGGGAAAATGGGAGGAGGGGAGGAGAGGGAGGGAGAAGAGGAGAGGTAGGAGGAGGGTGGGAGGTGTTTTCAGATTCATCAAGGTGGGGGTTGTTTGCTGTTTCTCCTTTTTCTTTTACCGTTTTTTCTTTTTTCTTTTTCTCCTTCCCTCCTTCCCTCCCTCCCTCCCCTTCTCTCCTTCTCTCCTTCCCTCCCTCCCTCCCCTTCTCTCCTTCCCTCTTTCTTTCTTTCTTTCTTTCTTTCTCTCCCTCCCTCCCTTCCCTCCCCTCCCTTCTCTCTCTCTCTTTCTCTCTTCCTCCCTCCTT